AATTTCAGATCTACAATGAGTCGTTTTTTTACGTAAACATGCGTAAACAAAACAAAAAATATTTCTGAAATTCGAATTTAATTGGGTCCCCTGTATTTTTATTTGCAAAATCTGGCAGCCCTACTTGGAAAGGAAAAGAGCACGTTAGGAGGATGGAGGGAATAGGTCTGGGGAACACAGTCCCTGCTGGCAGAGGACTTCCCCGAGCCCAGGAGGCCTGCCCACCAAGGAGCAGCCCCCGGCACGAGGCCTGGCTGCGAAGTGCAGGGCCTGGTCCTGCCTGTTCTGAGGGTCTGCCATCAGGAAGGGCAGTCATCTCCAGAAGCTGGGCCTGGGTGACCTGTGAACCCCTTTGACACCTGGAATCCCACAATACCAAGAGGAAGGGGTAAACGGGGAGAGGGTAGAGGTCTGGGGGTCTGTGCCACCTAACCTGCAGCCACCTTGATCCGCTGGGGCTTGGCAGGACCCGCGCTGGCAGGTCAGCGTGAACCAGCTGAGTGGAGGACGTGGCTGTGACCGGCATGGGAGATGGCACTGGGACCTCACAGAGTGACCGGAGTAGGCTGAGACCCCTGGGAGGCCCATGCTGGGACAGGGGACACGGTCGCAGCGAGGATGCACTCTCCCAGCTCCCAGCCGGGCTGGAGTGGAGCCGCAGCAGCTCTGGGAGCCAGGCTGCACCTCCTCCGAGCGAAGGCCTGCAGGGGGACCGGCGCCCCGAGGACCGCAGGCCACCATGGCACACCGGGGGAGGCCGCTCTTCCTCAGGGGGATGGGCTGTCCCCACGACCCTGCGACCCGGCCTCCCCTCTTCCACCCTCCCTTCCCCACCACAGAAACTCACCAAGTCAGGCAAGAAAAGCAAACTGTTTATTTACACCTTGGTCTGTACATTAGTCCCCGAGGGAGCCTGCCCCTTGATGGCTGGAAGCAGGCTGGAGGCAGAGGGCCTGGGACCCTGGGAAGCAGCCTTGGGGCCTCACCCCTTCCCCACCCTGGGGCCTGGAGGCTCCTGGGACAAAAGACTCGGCTGAAACCCCACCGAGAGTCAAAGCCGTCTAACCAACCCTTGGACAGGAGGCCACACACGCAGCTTATTGCGCGTGGGCCCCAGGAGCCCCGCCAGGAGCAGGGGAGCTGGGACGAGGGAGCCAGCAGGAGCGCAGTCTGGCGGCTGTCCCGACAGCGGCGGGCATTTGATGGCACCCGGGTCTGAGCACCTTCAGCAGACGAGGAAGAGCTTGGCAGTTGTTAATGGCAGACAGGGGCAGCAAGAAGCCTCTTCCTTCTGCCCATTTGTCCGAGGCTGTTCTAGACACCAGATGACAGGGGCTCGAACCCAGGCCCGTTGCTGAGTGCTGGGAGCCACAGGGCAGAGCTTCCTCTGCAGCCTCCACCCGCGACACCCCGCGGGCGACATCCCTCGGGCCGCAGCCCCAGGTTAGGAAGGTGCGCTCCGCTTCCCACAAACACCGACACCAACAGGGAGGTCTGCGGGAGAGGTGGCTTCACGGTCCCCCTTTCCTGGTGCGCACGGCTTCTAACTGGCGGCAGGCTAGAGGAGGGACTAAGTGGGTCCGGACCCCCCAGCTGAAGACTGTAATGACAAGTTCTGTACAAAGTGACCGTGTCTGCTCAGCTGTGAGCGAAGGGGCAGCGCAGCCTGATCCTGGTGGCGACGCCGGCACACCTGGGGGAGCAGCCCGCGGGGCGGAGGCACGTGGACACGGAGTGGGACACTATGTACACATTTACAGGGCTCGGGAAGGGCCAGGGTGAATGGCAGGATGTAGAAACGGGGGCAGTGGCAACGTGGAGAATCCTGTACAGTGGTGACAGAGAAGAAAAAGGCACAAGACAATGACCCCGAACCATGCACACAACGCACAGCCTGTGCAGGGCAGCAGAAGGTCCCGGCAGGAGGTCGGGCTCCGGGACAGCACTCAGCTCCTGCAGGGGTGGCCTGGGGCGCCCTTCCCAGTCAGCCCCTCCTGGCTCGGGGCAGCCAGCCCGCAGTTACAGTCACAACAGAGGAGAGAAGCACAAGGTCCAAGTGTCAAAATCATGTAGCATCTCATTTCACCAGGGTTCACACTTTCAGAAGCAAACCTTTCTTGAAGGTTGTCTCTTTTCCAGGTGAGCAGCAGGGCCTGGCAGAGGGGCCTCAGAGCTGTCCTGCCACACAGGCAGGGCCAGCCCGAGGTCCTGGCCTCTCCTGACATACAGACAGAGCATGAGGGCAGGACTCAGAGGTCGCTAGGGCCAGGGAAGGGAAGGGACTTCTCAGTGACCATGGAGGGCGTGGCTCCCTAGCTTGCGGCCCTCGGCAGCACCCCTCAGTCTCGCCCGCCCGAATCACAGCCCTAGTGGGGCACCCAGTGCCCCAGGAAGAAAGACTGGGAGGATGACAGCCCTGATGGCCCGTCTTCAATCTAAAACCCACCTTGGCCCTTTAAGAGTCGCTGCAGATCTGCCAGGACAAATGTCATCCCCTTGGCATAGTGACCATCCAAAGACTTCTGTTCCAATCACATCTAAAATTCACTTTTAGGTTTAAATTTGCTAATGCGTTAAGCACACCCCCCCCCACAGAACACAACAAGGTGGCTAACTGCTCCCTGGTCCATAGGCCCCACGTGTCCCTGGAGGCTTTGGTGGCTCTTCAGTCCCTCAGTGTAACCAAAGCGCCCACACTGCACCCTCTCGACAATGGGGACCTGGCTGGGTTGGGAGTCAGACCCGGTGTAACGGGGTCTGGGGCCTCCTGCCTGTGGGCGGGGTGTCCGTTTGGCTTCTAACAGGAGGAGCTGGGGCAACACTTACTTACGCAACCACCCAGGTTGCGTGTCAGCTCCCTCCTCCTCTGTTCTGCTCCCTGTTCCTACATCCCGACTTGTGCCACCCAGGACTGTGCGGACTCCAGGCAGACATGCCCACTCACGTCTGCGAACCCTCAGGCTGCTGGGAACAGCTGGGTTCACCAGCTCCCGAAGGCATCTGGTCTCCCGTCCTGGGGCCAAGGGATCAGCTGACTTCTTACCAACAGCCCAGCAGGGGAACTCACCCTCATCCAGTGCCTGGATCACCAAGCCCAACAGCACCTCCCCATCTTCTCCACCCTGGCCGGCTACCTTCCAGGAGGAGCCCCCGCCCGGCGCTGCCCCTCAGCATCACCTGGGGCGCCCTTTACCCATCTAAATGCCAAGGCCACACCCACGACAATTAAATATTAAACCCCAGGCAGCAGAATTTTTAAAATCCCAGGCGATTCCAAGGCACAGCCAGAGCCGAGAACCCCAGTTTCAGGAAAGTTCTCGAGCTTTGTGTTTGTAACAGGTCAGAAATCAAGTCAAGCTAAAGAAATTTCCCTCTGACAATTTGCAGAGAACCTAACACATTTAAAATAAACTACGTTGTCTAACTCCGGCCAAGTCAAAGTTAAACATTTTTTTTTTACTATAATTTATTTCTTATAGCTTCCCACAGAGCAGGGCCTCCTTTGCGGTCAGATGCCGTATATAACACTAACGTGCTGGTTCGGGAGGTTTGTCTGGCTTTGAACTGAGCGCAAGGATAGCCCAGTGTGGGAGAAAGTAGGGTCCCTCCCAAACACTAAGCTTCCCACCCAGCAGTGCTCGGCCCTACTTGGGTTAGCAAACAAAGACAAAACCCACACCGGACGCCCAGTTAACTTACAGCCACTTGGGGAATTCCTTAAACGCCATGCCTGGGCCACACCCACACCAATGCAATCAGAATGTCCCAGGATTTGGCCTCGTTATCAGAATTTCAAAAATCTCTCCATTTTAATTATGTGCCAAGTATCGCATGGAATATACTGCTACTAAAAATCATCTGTCGTTTACCTGAAATTCAAATGCAGCTGGGCATCCTGTGTACCATGTCCCAGCCCAGTACGGACGGAGCAGAGCAGGACTGGCAGCCTGGGGACGAGGGAGGAGACACAGGACGGGAGCTGGGTCGGCCCCACCCGAACCCAGTTAGTACAGGTCTGGAACCTGCCCAGAAGCTGGGACCAGGGAGGTGGGGGCGGGGGAGTCAGCCCTCCTCAGGCTAGCTTTCAAGCGCAGAAGAGCATTTTTAAAGTATGATCTTTAAAAAGCCAATCTGACAGACTAAGTTTTATGAGAGGTAATCTGGCTGAAGTCAGAATTTAACTTAAGGTGCGTGTTACATGAAATTCAGCCTCATTTCAAAGTCCACCCTCTTCCAGAGACCTGAAGTGGCTGCACCAGGTCCTGAGGGCCTTTGGACCAGTGCTTCCTCAGGGAGTGTTCCTGTGGCGCCCCCTTCGGGGAGGAGGCGACACAACACCGAGGGCTGACGGCTTTTTCTGCACCCTTTCCCAGGGCACAAACTCTTTCCCACATTGTAACTGCAACTCAGGCCTCTGCGGCCTTCCGGGAACCCCACCTCGGTGCAAAGGCACGTGAAGTTTTACACAGAAGATGCTCATCCCTGCGGCGGCCCCCAGCACACCAGGCCTGGTCTAGCAGGTGGGCCTCTGTGCAGGACTCCTTCCCAAGTAAAACCCAGACCAAGCCAGGTCCTGATTCTTCTTCCCTCCCCTCTCCTTTGTAGCCACTCCTCCCTGTGGGCAAATTCTCAGACCCACCCCTGCCTTCTTTCCCTGCCGCTGCGCAGGCCCCGGGGGAGCCCAAGGAGACTAGTGTCCTACGGGGCTGAGAAACTCCCAGAAGGCAGACCCCTGCCCCGGTCTTCCTGGTGTGGGTGGCCCCACACTCCTGGATCGATCCAGTGCAGCCCCTTTATTTGCAGCTTGAAACAAATCCCGTAGATGTGCTTACAAAGAAATCACAACATCCGACAGGAGCAAACGCCGATGGAATGGAATGAAGGTCGGCCTCGGCCACAGCTGCCTTGATGAGCAGGGACACACCCAAGTCCCCGGGTGCCCTCGTCACCCTCTGCTCCCCCACCTTCTCGGCGTCCCCCGTCCCTCCCCGACAGGCCCAGGCATTCCCTTGTGCACTAGAAGTGTGTATGAGCCAAACGTGTTTACATACACTTGGATTAAGGGAACGGACCAGCCCCATAAAACCGGGAACCAGTGGAAGAACTCGAAGGGAAGTACCACATCCACTCCCAGCTGCCTGGAACAAAAGGTCGCAGTAAAAACCCGGAGTGCACACGCCCGCATGGCTCCCGAGGACGAGACAGCTTCCCGGGAACCCCCAGCGCCCTCCCACAGCGCTTCCCCCTGGCTGGGAACAAACGCAGGTGCCTTTCTAACCGCTGGAACGCAGGGGTCATGCTACCCGGCTGGCCAGGCCCAGACCTTTGCTCTGAACGTCCAAGCCCCAGGCCCGCTGTCACCAGGCTGTGCAGGCAGCAGGACTGGCCCCTCGTCTACAACTCAGCCAGTGGACGGAGCTGATGGGGGGCTCCTCCCTGAAATCACATCTTTGGTTACCGGTGCTAACGCCCACCTTAAACACCCCGTCTCTCAGCTCCTCCTCCTTCCATCCCTTCACCTCACTGCCCAGTGAGTGCTGCCTGGTTTTCATTGGCTTAAAAACCAAACCAAACCGAAGCCAACCAGAGAGGGAGAGGTAGGTGAGCAGAGATGGGGAAGTGTACGGAGGACTCTAAAAGTGCTGAGAACTCTCAGGACGAAGGTGGCCCCGCGGCAAGTCCGAGTCCTTTAGACACACGGTGCTACCAGTCGGGGGGTGCTGGTGGGGCCCCGCCTTGTGTTCCCCTAAACGCCCTTTCCTCCTCTCTGAGCTTGAGCACCTGGACCTCAACGGTGGCCAGAGGTTGGCAAGGACACAGCTGCTGGGCGTTCGAGCTCCTGGCAAAGAGCGAAACTCCTGCTCCCAGAGGAAGGGGTGGGGAGAAAGAGCCTGCCTCCTACAGCGTTTCTTAGTGCTCATCCCCAGAGGTAGAATCATTTTATCCAGTATCTGAAACACAAGCTTCGGTTCTTGATATTACAGGAACTCCTGACTGCAGACCTTGCCCCTGCGGCCTCCAGGACCCCTGCCCCTGCAAAGGGGCCACAGGGTGCACGGACAGCAATCGCGCACATACCGCCCCGCCGCGCCCCACGCTCGCTCACCCCGGCTGTGCGCACGCCTACCCACATCCACACCAGCACACGTGACATGGTGGCCAGAGTACATTTACAGTGTGAGAGGCCCGCCGGGGCCGCGTCCTCAGACAGGGTCTGCCCTTGGGTCCTGGGGTGCCGGGTCCCGAGGCCATGCGGCCGTCAGCCCCGTCTCAGTGTTTGATCTCGAGGATGGAGGGGTTATGGTCCAGGATGGCGAGGATGATCTTGTCCATGTACTGCCGTAGCCGGAAGTTGATCTCCTCCTGCTCCTTGAGGGCCTCCATGAGCTGATGGTAATGGGGAGATGTCAGAGCTCAGGGGACCCCGGCACGGCAGCCCCAACATCAACCTCAGCACTCGGGCACCAGGACATGAGTCCAAAGCCCTGGACTCATGAGTCTCACCCCAGGATGTGAACTACGCAGATGCCCAGGCCCCATCCCTGGAGGTGCTGATTTAACTGGTCTGTGGAGGGGCCCGGGTGTGGGTAAGTTTCTGGTAAAAGTTGAGAACACTGGCCAAAGGCATTTCTAATCAGGGCTGACATCCGAAGTCTCAGGACCCTCAGACTTGCAAGGCTGTTTCCTCTGCCCGGAACGGCCCCCTTACCACCCCTGCCCTCCCGCGGCCCCTGTCCAGGTTGACCCTGACCAGTCCTTTAAGATGTCACTGAACGCTGCGCCTCCCTGGCTCACCTGGGAGCTCCCAGAGGCCAGGGTCAGCTCAGCTCTGTGTCCCAAGCACAGGGTAAGGGATTCAGTGACTGCCTCAGATTCAAGTTAAAATGTAACTGGAGTATTTTGGAGACCTGAACCTTTATAGCCATGACCTGAGGGGCAGAAAGAGGGGGCTTTGGTGCTAGGGGCCTGGGTCCCCCTCCATCCATAGGCTCAGTGATCCTGTATCCTGGTCTCTGGATCTGTTCAGACAGCCCCCAAGTTGTCGGAAGATTAAGTGGAGACATACTGCCAGTGTCCCTCCCCTCTGGGCTTAGAAGAGGGGCGTTACAGACTCCCCCGGACACACGTTCATGAAAACTGGCCATTTCTCCACATTTCTGGCTAAGACCCAGACTCCACCTGGCTCCCAAGCCAGAGCGCCTCCCACCACACGAAGGAAGTCGGAGCTGACTTAGCTCCTCCTGCAGCTCTGCCCTGTCACTTAGGTAGTTACAGGGGACTCTTTGGGGCCAGGCCCTGGTCCGCTTTTCCTGCTCTGGGGGTGGGGATGGGCAAGACTCAGGAGGGCCAGGCCCCAGGGCGAGAGCCAGAGTGAACGGCGGGCTACCTCATCGCGCGAGGCCGTGTCTATTTCCGAAGCCAGAGACTGGGCTTTGGTCTGGGTGGCAAAGAGGTTCTTTGCTTCGTAGAGGCTGAGGCTCAGGAGCTGTCCATTCAAGTCATCATTCTGATCCCGCAGCTTATGATTCTCCTGTGAGCCGGACACAGGCAGCATCAGCTCCGGGAAGCACCCAGAACCCACCGGAACCCTCCTGTCTGCACCCACTGTCTCCTGACCCCCACCAGTCCCTCCCCTCAGATGTGCGCTGTGTCAGGACACCCATAGACAATGTGGCCTCTGCCGGGCTTGGGTGGGGAGGGCTGGGTCCTGGAGGTCACGGGTTCTTAGAAGTCACAGCGCTGCTCAGGGGAGCCGAGTTTCCAGGCGGGAGCATGGTTTCTGGCCACCCCTTCCTCCCTGTATGGGGACACTGCCCGCCCGGTGGCTCCTCCAACCCTGGCCCTGGGGAGGAACATCGATGCCCTGGGTCTCTGGGTTGGCAGGCTGGCCCCCCTTGGCACCTCCTACAGCCGGGCTCAGGAGTCCTACCTGGGGGAGCTCTTTCCAGCTGCATCCTAACTCCCCAGTGCCCGTCCAGACCCCCCTCATCAGCCCCATGCTCTAGCTTGTGCCCTAAGGCTCCTGGGGATCACACCTGGGACCGCGGGCGCCCCCTCGTGGATGAGAAGCGCTGGGCTTTAGGACCGCTGTGGGCAGGTGAACACCAGCACTGTCTTGGTGGAGCCAACTCAGAGGTGTAATTTATATAGTGGTCAGCGACCATCACTCTCTCACTGGTCACTGCCCCTCCTGATCCCACTTCCTCCACCATGACTGGTCTCCAATTATAGGAGTGACCCCAGAAACCGCATGAAATGGACTGTGGACTGAGGGCCTGCTGGGAGACCCCCACAGGGAGACACTAGTCTTTAGCTGGGGAGTCTCATTCTCCACCCCACTTGCCCAGGACAGAAGAATGGATGCCAAGGAGACCCGAAAGTTTCCATCAGCCGTGGCCTAGAGGTGAGCCGCCTGCTGAGCTGTAGGAGGAGGGCGAGCAGCCCTGACAACCAGGTTGTCCAGGGGAGCAGACAGGAGCGTGTGCAAGGCTGGTGCCCCAGCGCTCGGCCCCCTCACAGGAAACCCGCCCGCGGGGACTGGGACACCTCATCCTGCTGGACACTGGCTCCCAGGGCCCACCTGCTTGAGCCGCTTGATCTCATGCTCCAGCTCCACCTCTCGAGCCCTGGCACTGAACTCGCCCAGGCCGGTGGATGAGCTGCGGCCCCTGCCTGGCCGCTCGCAGTCCAGCTTGTACATCTGCAGGTGCTCCAGCTCCTTCCGCAGGTCCTCGATGAGCTGCGTGGGAGAGGGGCCCGTGGGTGGGAGCAGGGGCACAGGGGGAACCCTGGAGCCCTCTGGCTGGGACCCACCTCCTGCGTCGCCTCCCGCTCCTTTTGGAACTCAAGGCGGTTCTGCCGCAGCTTGTCCATCATGCGCTTGTACAGGTCCATCTCGTCCTTGAGCCGCAGGCTGGTGTCCTCCAGCCGGTCGGACATACGCTGCCGCTCCTGGAGCAGGAAGACCAGGTCAGCAGCAGGGGACAGTTCCCAGAGGGGCTCAGTGCGCCCTAGAACTTCCCTGAGGGTCTGTGCCAGCCACCTCGCAAACGGGCAATCACACCAGGCCCCTAGACAGAGCCCTCCGAGTCGCAGCCTAAAGAGACGTCCAGATCCCCTAGGGTTCCAGAAACACAGCTAGAAGAACCTTAGGCCTTCAGTGGCGCCAGATGAAACTTGGTTAGAAGGGGGTGGCCCAAACATTTAGAAGCCAATCTTTTCCTCTTTTTTATTATCTTCTTCCATTACATAAGAAAATATATTCACAGTAGAATATTTGGAAAGTCAGAAATATAGAAAAACAAACTATTGTTCATACATATATATTTTTTATCCTCACCCAAGGACATTTTTGCATTTATCTTCAAATAGAGTGGGAGGGAGAGAGGGAGGAAGAGAGAGAGAGAAACAGCGATGTGAGAGAAACACACTGACTGGTTGCCACCCGCACGGGGACAAACTGCAACTGAGGTACATGCCCTTAGTGGGAACCGAACCCGGGCCTCTCTGGTCCATGGGCCGACACTCTAACCGCTGAGCCAAACCGGCCAGGGCTGTTCATATTTTATTGCCTTTTTTTCTAGGGCAATTTTATTAGAATTTCAGCAACCAGAAACTGAAGGCCTCTGATGGCCAACCCTGCCTCTCTGAACTCAGCTCAAGAGCCAAGCCCGAGAGGTGCCCGGACCTGCCGCTCACCTCATCCAGTTTCTCCGTTTGCGACTTGAGCCGAGTCACTGTCGTCCTAAGCTCTGCGTTGTCTTCCTCTAACTGCTGGACCCTGGGGAAAGCAGGACAGAAATGTCAGAAACGGAGATCATCTTACAACTCGACAATGTGCAGCGGTCCTCTGCTCCCCGGAGGAGGAAAGCTACCAGGAGGCGAGAGGGAGAAGATAAATAATTATTCCAAATGATAACACGGCCTTGAGCTTCCCGTCATCCAAGGCAAAATGGCAAAGACACCGAGTTTTTCTTATTTTTTTGATAAAAGGAAACACTCATTTGTGGATAAGAACGCAAGATTTTTTTGCATCCTTGGGGCCTGAAACAAAGGAGGGGCGTGTTTTTCCGGGAGAGCGCCTCCCCGTGGCTGTCTGCGGCAGGGCCCTCCAGCTGGAACCTCCCATCTGGAGGCCATGGCCAGGCTTGTTTCCATGCTGCCTCCCCAGCAGGCACCAGGGCTCTTCCCTGAGTGCTCACTGCAGCTGCCTCTGACAGCCAAGTCACAGTCCTCTACGGCAGCATTCACCAGGGCTGTCCCACTGTGACCCCGTGAAAAGCCAGCCTGGGTGCCCAGGTCGGTTTTAAGTGGCCTGAGAAGAGGGGCAGGTGAGTTGGGGTGTCAGAGGCACCAGAACTGTGCAGGGTCATTTCTGACGGCGATTCGGGCAGAACCTTCCTTCTCCTGCCCACGTCACTTCCTTGTCCTGCAGAGACTGCTTCCTGGCCCCACTCCCTCCAGGGTCCCTCGGAGAGCCTCGCAGGCTGGGCCACGGGGGAATTCAGACACTCGCTCTGAGGCCAGCTCACGGGACCGCGCCACAGGGGGTGCTGTCTGCACATTCTGTGTGAACAGCCGCCTGGAGCTGGGCAGGGCCCTGGGTGAGGAGACAGTCCCCAGGGAGGCTTTCTGGGCTTTGCCCTGTGGCCCCACTGTCTTCTTCCAGCACCTGTTCCCGGACGCCCCTGAGGCCAGCGACCTGGCCAGCTGGCAGAAGCAGACAGAGAACAGTGATGCTCAATGAGGGATCAGCCTCCAGAAACGGATGTAAAACAGCAGCTTCGAGAACATGTGAAAACCCAAAGCCCTGGTTGATCAAGTTCACAAAGGGGTCTCAGGTGCAGGGGCATCAGGTGTCCCCGCTGAAGTGCAGAGGAGCTCCGAGTGCTCAGGTCCCCTGGTCCTGCCCGCCCTCCGCGTGGGGAGCGCTGCTGCCAGCCACGGGGTGCCAGGCGGGGGCCCGCCTCCCAACCCCACCCCAGGCTGGGCCTAGCAGCCCGGGGCTGAGGGGGCCTGAGGAGCGCGGGGTAGCTGTCCCCTCTGCCAGGAGCCCAGGGGCGCAGGGTCGGTGCTGAAGGCAGCCCTGCGACACCACAGCCCTCCCCGCCGGCAGTGTCCCGATGTGCTCTCAGCCACCCTCAGCCGCTGTGGGGCTGGCAGAAGGGGAAACCGAGGCCCAGGGAAGTGACAGTATGTTCAAGCTCATGGAACTGATGGGAGACCAATCAGAATCCCAGGTCAATACTGCCCCCCTGCCTACCTCGGTTCCAACGTCTACCAGAGACCAGGAGCCATGGGGCCAGGGTCGGTGAAGAATCTGACAGCAGGGGGCGCTCCAAGCCTGGACATTAGTCCCAACCCAGGAATCAGGGCACCACCACTGATCTCTGGGTTTTTACCATTCTCTGGTTGCCAGACACGCGAGCCATTTCCAGTTTCACCTGATGGGAACACTACCACGTGAGGGTCCTGCGACACGCCTCCTGGAGAACAAGCCCGCGTGTTCCGGTACCAGTAGAACCGTCAGGACACAGGCTTCCCCTCCGGCGCAGTTCTCCCACCTATTAAATGGGGACAGCGGCCCCCGCCCCACGGGCCGTCCCAGGAACGTGAGGGTGTGTCCGGAGGCAGCGGGCTCCGTGGAAAGGCCCGAACCCCGAACCCCGGCGCGGCGCCCCCCGCGCCCACCTGGAGTGGAGCAGCTCGATCTCCGTGCCCTTCTCCCGCTCCAGCTTGCCGTAGGCCTCGCGGTGCCGCCGCGCCTCCTCCTCCAGGGCCTGCTCAGCCGTGGTCTCCTGATCCTTCACCATCTCCTCCAGCTCGTGCACCCTGGGAAGGGGCACAGACTCCAGTCCAGGGCCAGCTCTCCCGGCCTGTGCCTTCTCACCCTGACCGGGCTGCAGCATGGGGAGCCCTGGCCCCGAGTCGCTGACTCCCCCAGTGTGGCCAGCAGCTCTGACAGATGAGTGAGGGACACTGGCACTCGGCAGAGAGGTGGCAGCTACGCTGCATGGAGGGGCAGGCCCGGCAGTGGGCGCAGAGGGGGCGGAGCTGTGCCCGAGAAGGTGGGACGCGGGCGGACGACAGGCCTCGCCACAGCTGCACAGAGCCACCTTCAGGGCTCACCTCCTCTTTTTATTCTCCCTCTTCCTGGCCAGGGCCCGTTCGGTGAACAATTCCGCTCTGGGCACCTTGACTCCTGGCTAGTGGCCCTGAGCACGCCAGACCAGAGACAGGGCCAGGCCCCACTAGGGCTGTTATAACCCCCACTGGTGGCCTCCCTGCTACGCCAGTCACCAGTCGGGGGCACAACGCACTGGCAGGAGTCCTTCCATGAGGCTGACCTTGGAGTGGGGTACGAAAGGGCCCATTTTGGACCCTACAAGGTTGAGGCTCAGTACCTGGGCAGGGGTCAGTTTAAGTTCCAGGCTATCCTGTGAGGACCAAACACCACATGCACTAGCATCACAGGCAGCGCTGGGGAGGTGATGCTCAGTGGCCCCGTGGGGAGGAGGGAGCAGCAATGCTGGGACTTTTCCCACCGGCAGCAAATGTGGGCCCCCAAATCACACCAGCCTCTCCCTCTGCAGAACTTGCCCGGGAAGGGAGGTCAGGTTCTCATCACTGCAGGACAGAGGGACAGGGGAGTGGATCCCAGCTCCTGTCTTAGGCATGCCCTGGGGCTGCAGACCTGGGGGGTCACGGTCAGGTTCCTACCTGTCTCCCTGTCTCCAAAGCCCTATCGTCTGGGTACTCCGCATGGCCAGAGCCATGTAGCAAGGGGCTGATGCGTCCCAGACTCTCCGAGCTGGGAGGACATGCAGGTCACCTCTCCTGGCTTCTCCTGGGGGCCTTAGCAACAGGGACAGCCCTCCGTTCCCCAGAAGCACAGCCAACGCCCCTAAGCCAAGGCCCAGCCGCTGACCTGTGCACCAGCTGGGTGTTCTCCTGTTTCAGCTTGCTCTTCAAGTCCCCGTTAGTCAGGCTGTCATTCTCCAGTTCCGTCACCTTTTTTTCCAGGAAGCTCACCTACAACAGGGGGCAGAGGTGGGGGTGGATCACACCTTTGCAGCCCGAGAGCCCAGAAACCACGGGACTCATGGCCAGGCCCTCCAACTGACCGAGAGGGGAGCACATCCAGACCGAGGGGGGAGCACAGCCAGACCGAGGGGGGAGCACAGCCAGACCGAGAGGGGAGCACGCCATGTGTGGTGGGAGGGAGGATGGGTGGGGAGGGACGTGCCCACGTGATCCTGGGCAGGGGCAGGGTCTCCCAAACCCCCGAAAGCATCCTCGAGTGCTCCCCGCTCCCGAGGGAACGTGCACTACTGACGCCCCCTCACCCAGGCCCACCTTCTCCGTGATGTCATTGTCACAGGAGTCGACGCTGTCCCGGAACAGGTCCTCAGTGCTGCCATTACTGCTGCTGAAGTTGCTGCTGTGCAGGAGCTGCCTGCGGGGTGCAGGGAGACACACCAGCTGCAGGTGCATCTGGGACCGGACCCAGACTCCGACCATGGCCCAGCACCCGGGGCGATGGGCCAGACCCCTCTAGGGAGGCTGCCCTCACCCAGCCAGGGGCGAGCTGCCTGCCCTCTGAACTCAGGAGATCACCCAGCTCCAGGCTGCTGCGCCCCTGGGCCCCGGCAGACATGGCCAATCCCCACAGCGCCTTCCTGCTGCTTCCGAACCCCTTTCACACAGGTGTTCCAGCCGGGAGCTACCAGTGACCAGAGCTAGTGCGCAAGCCCCTCACCCTCCCAGCGGGAAAACAGCCTGCCCCACAGCCCCAGCAGGCCTGGGCCCCGGAGGCCACCCAGTAAGTAGAGCCCAGTGCCCTCCACCAAGCCTGTTCCTGCTGCATCTCTGGGCACCCTGGGGGAGGGCGAAGGAAGGAGGACCCACCCAGAGTGTGCTGGGCAGAGGGTTGATGGGCAAGACTGAAAACATGAGACAGATGTTATAACTCTTCCCTCAGGCAAAACCCAGCTGCCCCTCCCCAGAGGCTCCCCCTCCCCAGGGGCAGCAGCCAGGGTCTCCACCCAGACAGAGGCTGCCTCACCCCAGCTCCTGGGCCAGAGCCTGGGTGCTCGCTGGCAGCTCCTGGAGCCCTGAGTGAGGACCTGGGGCCAGTTTGCAGAACCAGAGCGGGATCCTGGCAGACCCAGGAAGCCAGCTGTGCAGCATCTGACCTGGAGCCAGGCCACCACGCCCCGGCCTCTGCTGCAGGAAGCCCAGGGCCTCTGTGGGTGCAGCGGCCAGCTCCAGAGCACAGGGTCTCCCAGGGCCCCTGGTGGGCCTGCCTGAGGCTGAGGCCCTGAGGGTTTGCAGAGGCGGACAATGCCCGAAGGGCCCGGCACACCGCGTTCCCCTCTGCCCATTCAGCCACACACGGCGTGCAGGGCGCTGCCTGAGTCTGGGCTGCTGGCACGGAGCTGGCCGCCCTGGCAGCAAGGGCACCATTCAACCTGTCCTCCCCCCAGGGGCCTTACCGTCCAAAGGCCGTGCTAGAGATCTTTCGGTTGGGGCTGCAGAGAGAGAGAGGGAAGAGAAATGGTCATTGAACAGTGGGCTCTAGTCTGCTCCTTCCTCTGCGCTGGCTGCAAGCTACCAAAGTGCGGGGCCAGCCGTTTTCCAGCCCACCGAAGGGATTTCACTACTCAACTTGGCCCTGAGAACCAGCACCCTGATTTTCCTGTTGCAAAAGCATGCAAGCCCCCGAGGATCAACCCTGTTCTGAGAGTGCTCTCCTGCCTGCTGCTTCCCTCCTGGGCCCAACCTGGGCGCCCCCTGCCGCCGCCCCCGCCTCCCTGCCGGGCTGGCCTCACCTGTTGGCCTTCAGGTTTTTCAGCCGGGCTTCCAGGTCATTCAGCAGGTTGATTTTCTTGCAGCACTGCGAGCAGTAGACATCCAGCAGTTCGCTGTTGTAAGCGTGCCGCATTTTCCTAGGCGTCTGCCCCGCACTGATGCATGAGAGAAAATCCCTCAATGGCCATACGGTCTGGGGCCCACCCTGTCCTGCTGAGCTTACTTCACTGGGTTCCCCAACACCTGGGGACCTTGCATGCGTGTGGTCAGGGGTGGGAGTGGAAGGACCGCGCCAGACCTCCTCTCCTCTAAAACCCTCAAAGAGAAGAAGCCAATGAGTTGTACCCATTTCACAGGTAAGGCAACTGAGAGCTAGTGTCAGAGGAGGCGATGCCTCAGGTGTGTGGGAAGGTGTCAGTAGGCCACCTGGGAGAACCCTTCAACAATGAGGTTCTAGAAAATGACAAAAACGACAAATCCCCCAAGCCCGCAGCCTCCCAGGTTGGTTAATTCTACTTCTTCCCTAAGATGGGAGGAGGGCAGAAGAATTCCAGACCCTCAATCGGGGGCCAATGCAGCACCCCCAAACCCCGGGAGCAGAACCCACGTAGCTCAGGACTCTGCCCGCTGAAGCCCCTGGGGATGAGGGAGGGTTGGCTCTGCCGCTCTTCCTGGGCCCCACACGCCATTCCAGACCAAGGGGCCACCTGGAAGACACTGAGGACCCCAGGTCCGAGTAGACATTGGTCCTGGTCTCGTCGTCGGGGCAGGGGCTGCTGGGGACGCAGTCCACGTCGTCCCCCTCCCCGTAGTCTTCAAACTGCTCCTCGTTGCTGATGAGCGAGGTGGTGGAGTGCGTGGAGGGCTCTGACGTCGCCATGGACGGCGTGTGACCCAGGGACCTAGACACAGAGCAGCTGCCTTTACCAAAGCCACAGCCCCACCAGGAGGGCCCCGGGCGCCACAGCGCCGAGGGCCTGATTACGTCCGTGCCTTGGGACCTGGTGAGCACACTTTGGGGACACTGCCCTAAGGGAAAACCTCACCACAGAAACCGTCTGCCCGGCAGATACTCAGACGCCGGCTCCTCTACAGCAGCAAATACTGCTCATGACCAAGGGTTACCTGCAGCCGCCTCCGGCGACACTTACTAAATCATACCAAAGATTGGTACATTCAGTTATTAAATTGTGGACTATCAAATCATTGTTGAAAGGTTCATAAAAAATATTGGCAATAATGTGGAAAATTTAATATTAGATATTAAAGTTGGACATAGCCCTGGCCGGTGTGGCCCGGTGGCTGGAGCAGCAGCCTGTGCACCGAGGGGCCGCAGGTTCGATTCCTGGTCAAGGGCACGAACCTAGGTTGAAGGTTCAGGGACTCGGGAGGCAACCAATGAATGTGTCTCTCTCGCGTCGATGTTTCTCTCTCTCTTTCACTCCCTCTCCCTCCCTTCTCCTCTCTCTAAAAATCAATGGAAAAAATATCCTTAGGTGAGAATTAACAAAAACTAATAAACAAAAATAGTGTTGGACATAAAACTCTACCTACAGTAAGACTGAGCATAATAGACGTCTGCACAGAACCAGGAGACGTGGAAATACAAATATTCCAGGGGCGACAGGGCTTGGTTTTGGGGGGTGGGACTCTGTGATTCCCTCTCCAGTCCCACTTTCCCAGCTTTTTCAAGTCTATTTCATTGGTTTCTACTTCTTTAATCGTGAAATGAAGTTTTAAAACAAATTACAATGAGCTACCAGGTGAGAGGCTTCTCCCCGTTTACAGAGGCGATTTCTAGTCCAAAGAAGCCTAACTCCGAGGAACACGGCCAGAGGCCCTGCGCTCTCCGAGGGGACCCGTGGTGTGGCCGGGGACAGGAGCAGAGCTGGCGAGCCCTGTCTGTAACCCAGGAACAGACAGGACAGCAGCTCATCCCCTGCCAAGGTGAGTCTTCCCATTAGTCATTACACAGTAACCCCTGGATACTGTCACTCCTAAGTCAGGGCTTCTCCACCTTCCTAACCTCCACATTCGGAGACCTGAAAAAAGTGTGTATTGGGTTAAGGCAGTGGTGTTATTTTATTTTATTTTTAAAAATATGTTTTCATTGATTTTTTAGAGAGAGAGGAAGGGAGAGAGAGATAGAAACATCGATGTGAGAGAGAAACACCGACTGGCTGCCTCCTGCACGCCCCCTACTGGGGATCCAGCCTGCGACCCAGGCATGTGCCCTGCTGCCGGGAATCGAACCGGGACCTCTCAGTCCATGGGATGACGCTCAATCCACTGAGCCACACAGGCCTGGCAAGGCAGTGGTTTTAAATTGTGCCCTCTTGCCCTGGCCAGTCTTGCTCAGTGGTTAGAGTGTTGGCCCACACACCAAAGGGTTGAGGGCTTGATTCTCAGTCAAAAGCACACACCGGGGTTGCAGGCTCGATCCCTAGCCCTGGTTAGTCAGGGCTGTGTGGGAGGCAACCAGTCGATGTGTCTTTCTCTCATCGATGCCTCTCTCTCCCTCCCTCTCTTCTACTGTTTCTAAAAGTCAGTGGGAAAATGTCCACTCTAAGAATCAATGAACAATATCCTCGGGTGAGGATCAACAACAACACTAATCAAACTGTGCCCTGAGAGCCCAGGCTCTAAGGAGCACAGTGCTACTGACAGGTGTTAGAGATCACGGTTCCCAGTACCTCCACCCAGTTGTATTTATTTACTTACTATCGGCCCTCAGGTTCCTTAGTACCCCGGGCTGAATTAATCATACTCCTCCCTTCTTTCTCCGATAAATTTTACTAACTCTTGCCACCTGCTGCTGGCTGCCTCATGGTGACTGGTGGTCCCAGACATCAACGGGAACAATCAAGTGGCAAATGACTAGCCAACAGGCCTGTAGCGGGTGACACCTGTCCTCGGGTTGGTTGGTCACCGGCACCGCTGGCGGGCCTCTCCATGGGGCCCATCGAGGACCCCGAGCCCCTGAGTTGGAGAACGCCAGCACTGTGAAGGCATGTTAGGTTGAACCATATGAAATTGCTTTTTTTAAAGGTTGAAAATTATTAAAAATTGACAGCTTCATATGGTTCCATGGATACGAAAACCCCTCCCTGGCCTCTCCACATCTCGGGGTGAGCTGTGACCACTGCCCTCTCCTGACACAGGGGTGCCCACACCCAGCTGTCACGGCCTCCTCGGCTGATGTGGCTGCTGCCCATCAAACACTGTCCTCCCTCGGGGACCGAGTGAGCACTGGAAGAGGGGCTCCCTCTGCTCATGCCCACTAGAGGACGACACTGCCCCACTGGGAAGTCACTAGGTCCTCGTATCACTTTTAAATAACATTTCTGGTCATGAAGACACACGAGCAACAAAGAAAATATAGAATATGGAGCACAGCAGATGGGAGACCATTAAAACCATCAAGAATCTCATCATCCTGAAAGAACTGCTCATTTCCTGGAATAATTTTTCCTAGGCATTTATATATATATAAGTATTATATATATATAATTATATATATTATATATAATTTTTTAAACAAAACTAAGATCATACCTCATGGACATCTTTATAACTTGCCTTTTATTTATTTATTTATTTATTTATTTATTTTTTAATCCTCATCCGAGGACATTTTTCCATTTTTTGTACAGACAGTGTGGGAGGGAGAGAGAGGAACAGAGAGAGAGGGAAACATCGATGTGAAGGGACACATCGAGTGGCTGCCACCCGCACGACCAACCAGGGCCGGGGACAAACTGCAACCGAGGTACATGCCCTTAGCGGGAACCGAACCCGGGTCTCTCCAGACCGCAGGTGGACGCTCTAACCGCTGAGCCAAACCGGCCAGGGCTTTTTTTTTTTTTTTTTTTTTTTTTTTTTTTTTATCCTCACCCGAGGACATTTTTCCATTTTTTGTTCAGGTAGAGTAGGAGAGGGAGAGAGAGAAACATCGACGTGAAAGGGACACATTGAGTAGTTGCCACCCGCACGACCCAACCAGGGCCGGGGACAAACTGCAACCGAGGTACATGCCCTTAGCGGGAACCGAACCCGGGTCTCTCCGGACCGCAGGCCGACGCTCTAACCGCTGAGCCAAACCGGCCAGGGCTTGCCTTTTAAAAACTAACTGAGCCCTGGCCGGTTTGGCTCAGCGGTTAGAGCGTCGGCCTGCGGTCCGGAGAGACCGGGTTCGGTTCCCGCTAAGGGCATGTACCTCGGTTGCAGTTTGTCCCCAGCCCTGGTTGGGTCGTGCGGGTGGCAGCCACTCGATGTGTCCCTTTCACGTCGATGTTTCTCTCTCTTCCTCTCACTCTATCTGAACAAAAAATGGAAAAATGTCCTCGGGTGAGGATAAAAAAATAAATAAAAACTAATTGAGAGATATCCCATACCATTAAATAGGCAATTACACCTGACTTTGCCTGGCTGCCTAAAATTCTAGAACTAGTGCTATTGTTAAGGCTTCGGGCTGCTTAGAACGGTTTGCCGCTGAGAATGCCCACGAGACGTGTGGCGGGGAGCCAATCCTGAGTGCACCTCACGCTTCCTCCAGGAGCCCCTCTGGGGGCTGCACCTCTGGGCCTGGGTCACAGGCGGAGTTCCAGGAAGCTTCAACTCACTTGTCCTCTGGCAGGAACAGGCCCCCGAGACCCCCATCCTTCTCTTCGGCAGGACTCCCGACTGACCCCTCCAGACTCTGGGTGCTCTCCATGGGGCTGTCCATGTCTGACTCGGGGGGGCCCTCAGGCGGGGCCAGTGCCATGGCCTCCTCCTCCTCCGCAGGACAGCAGCCGGGCTCCCTGGGGAGGAGCTCGCCATCAGCAAAGGTGGGGCCTGGCACCTCGCTGCCCTGAGAAAGACAGAGACACAGAATGAGTGAGCTTGGCTCCCTGGGGCTCAGCGTTTGTCAGCAGACGGCACAGACAGCGGCAAGGACATAGTGCTAATTATGAAGCCCAGGCACCCCACCTAATGACAGCAAGGAATGGGGGGCAGAGACCCCGAGGATGAGAATCCCTGCCAGGTGATTCATCTCCGGGCCTCTCACAAGGCCGGCCTCACCAGAGCCCCGTGAGGAGCCAGAACCCCCTGCGACAGCCACCATGGAGAAGGGCCACAGCCAGGCAGCCAGATGGCTCAGGGCACCCGGCAGCCGCTCAGGACCCCCATCACAAAGTTTGCACAGGAAGCCAAGTGACTCAGGAGAGGACTTCATGGTGACGGAGTTCAGGGCGCAGCCACAAATGAATGGCCGCCGAGAACAGTGACCCTGCCCTGGCAGAGTTGGCCGTGGCACGGCCCAGGGGCGTGTGCACACACGACAGGGAGCCACCCTCCACGCCTCTCACCCTTCCGACAACCTCTCGACAACCTCCCAGAACCTCCGCTCTCTCTGTGGGTTGGGAACGGCACTGAAATCTTACAGGATCACTGTGTCACAGTAGGACCTCGACGAATAAATCCCGGCCACAGGACCTGATGCCAGCCGGGGAGGGACGGTCTGCCGTGGGCCCTGCCACAGCCATGCAGCGGAGCGAGGATACGAGGTCCTTCCCTTCTGAGCGCCGGGCCGGTCCCTAGCGCACTGCCCGGCACAATCTGCTGTCTGACGAAGATTTGCCTGAACCCTCTGTTCAGACCACCTTCTGGGAGAGGAGGTCTCGTTTATCTGGTCTCCCCTAGTCTGAGGGACAGCTCTCGGCAACCATTTCTTGGGGCTGCTTTGTCTCTGAGGAGGTAGGCACATCCCAGGTGACACTGCTTCTGCCTGCTCCCATCCGATATGTAACCTGTTCCCAAGGTTCTTGCGCGGGCTCCTCAGCTGGGGCTGGCAGGGCCCTTATTAAAGCTGCTTCCTCCAGCCCAAGTGCAAACAGAGCAACAGTAACAAAGCCTCCAAGAGTCTCAGACAAGATCAGGATCCAGACACAGCTGAGCAAGGACAGCGACAGCTCGGCTGTGTCCACCCAGATGTGTGCAGCCAGTGGGGAGCAGGCAGCCTCCTGGGGGTCTATCCCACCAAGACATCCTGGGCTGAGAGGAGATGCTAATTAATGAGCTTGGCTCCTGCCGCTGCCATGACTCCGGCTGAGCACCAGATGGGCCAATAAAGTCGGCATCAGGCAGCCAGGCCCCCCTGACTAGAGGCCGAGGAGCTGTGTAATTAAAATCATCTTTTTCCACCTAGATGTCACTAATCCAATCCCACATGGCTCCCAACTTCATCAGATCCCGTACCCTAAACAAGCTCTTCGTCCGCAGGCCCAGCGCTGCGTCCCAGGAGAAACAAAGGCAAACAAACATTTACGGAGCAGCCACCAAGGTCCAGAGATGCGTTGAGAGTTGATACATTATCCCATTTGGCTTCGTGACAACTCTCCAGGACAGACTCTTATCTCCATGTTACTAATGAGGACATCAAGGCTCAGAGAGTCACCTGCCAAAAGCCCTCCAGTCTGGCTCTGAAGTCCCCCCCTGCCTCTGGCCACAGGCTTGGTTCCCTTTATCACTGACACAACCACACTGGGTGGATTTTCAGAGCTCCTGGTGACAATGAGGAGGGCACGCACTGCAGGGACACACTGCTAATTATGAAGCCCAGGCACCCCACCTGATGCTGTAACTCCACTGCTGCCCACTTCCGGCCCCTGCGGGAGGCCCTCCGAGTCAGTGTGCGGACACCCGTGGACACCCCGAGAGATGCAGGCAGGAGGGAGCCCTGTGTGCTGCTTCTCTGCCCGCAGGCTTTTCACCTCCCGACCCACGACCCACGACCCACGGCCCACGGGAGGGGAAGCCACACTGCCAGGGGGGATCATCCCCGCTGCGGCTGAAGCAGCGCTCAGCCCCTCTGCAGATGGGCTGCTTCTGGTCTTCACAGCCCCGAGTGGGTCTCCCCCCACCCCCGCTCTGCCCCGCGTGGCTGAAGTGACTTGCCTGGGGCCACGTGGGAGTCAGCGCAGGGCTGGGACGGACTGAGTCACCAACACCCACTCTCTCCCCACAGCACCGTGTCAGCAGGGTCCCGAGGAGACTGCCACCTACCCTGTCCCAGAGGGCAGGCAGGGCGCCACGTGAGACCAGCACCCGGGCTCAGGTGTCCGGCTTGGCCTCCGGATGACTCATGTTTGCCTCACTGGACACCAAGACCCAGAGGCATGTTTCTGCCCGACATTGCCTGGGGTGCAGGTGGGGCTCAAAGCGCCCTTTCACCCCGCATCCCACAGTCATGAACCCAACTCCTGGTGGCTTGTCCACGGTCCCAACCAGGGTGGCCTCAAGTGGCTTGCCTCAGCCACAGGTGGGGCAGTAGGAAGGATCAGACACCCCCACAGGGGCCCCTCTGTCCCCATGAGACCGCCACCTCCTGAGGTGTGCTCTTACCCTGTGATGAGCAGTCCACCTCTGCCTGGCCCTGCACACTCGACTAAGCGCCAGGTGTCTCGCGCAGCCCTGGGGAGCTCGGGCGGTGCACAGAGCGCAGATCAAGGATCCACTGTCTCCATCTGACACATGGGAGGGTGAGGCTCCAGTGGGCAGGGGTGCCCGGGGACTTCCCAGCCAGAGCCCTAAAGCCAGGCCCCTCACCCACCGCTTACCCCCTCTCCTCCCCACCCCTCTCTCTCCCCTCTCCTCTCTCTCTTTCTCACCATACAGCCTTTTCTCTTAGAGTTAGCTGCTCCCTACATCAACACCTTTCATTCAACCCGCAATTGTTTGTCCAAGGCAAGTGGACATATTACAACTTCAAAACTATTCCTGGTGATGCACAACCAATGGACACAATAGTTTGGGGAAAGCAGGAGGGGGGTGGGAGAGGGGAGGAGGGGTCAATGGGGGGAAAAGGAGGTAATCTGTAATACTTTCAACAATAAGTAAAGATTAAAAAAATAAACAAAAGAACGCCATTTCTGGTTTCCCCCTCGATTCAAGTAACATAAAGGGCAGCTATAAGAAATGAGTTGGCTGCACCTCAGTTAGCCCAGACAGTAGTGCTTTGGCATTTGTCCCGGACGAAGTGTCCCTGTCGCTGGTGCTCCTCCCTCAGGGCCTCAGTCCGGCCCAGCTCCCGTTCCCCTGAGCCCTCTGGGGAAGCGCTGGGTGCAGCACTGGGCCTGCGAGGGGTGCTGCTGGGGTTGGGGACAGCCTGCTCCGATGCCCACACCTCAGGCAGGGAGGCAAAGCAGGGGCAGCTGCTGGAAGGCACTGGAAGGGCCACCTCTCCGCCCTGCCCTGAGCCGCCTCTCACTGGCCGGGAGAACACAGAGCCACACTGGAAACCCTTCTGAGCACCAGGTCACATCTGTGGGTGACCCCTATTCCCAGCACTCTCCCTCGGGACCCACAGCGAGCCCTGGGCACAGAGCTCCTAGTTCCTGAGGGCACAGGGCCAGCCACCGTGGGCCACACAGGTGTGGCTGACACATGTCCAGACCACTCCAGGCCACTTCCGCCCACCCTGCGGAACAGTCCCAGCGGTGAAGGGAGGGAAAACAGATGCAGTAACCCTCCACGAGCCCAGGACACCCCTGTGCACGCGGCTGACAGTGCGCACGGATTGGAGGCCGGCACACTGGGTTCAGTCCCGGCAGGCCTGGCCACTCACAAGCTGTGTGACCTTGGGCAAGTGACCTGAGCCCCTGACTCCTTACCTAGAGAATGAGGACAATCACCTGCACCTCGAGGCTAATGTCAGGGCCACACACGATACTTCTCACAAGCCCCAGAGAGGGAACAGCGATGGGGACACGAAACCCGGCCCTGGCCTTGCAGGGGCCGCGAGCTGCAGCAACCAGGCTGTCCCCGCCGCTCAGTCAGCAGGCCCCGGTCGGACAGGGGGCCGGGAGGCATGCCCTCCTCGAGAGACTGGGCACGGGAAATGATCCAAGACCAGGGGTTTCTGGAGAGTTCTGAGGCTCAAGGCTGGGGAAAGAGACTGCTCTGGCAGGGGTGGTCCCCTCCACGCGCGTCCCCTCCACGCCTCCACCCTGCCTCCGGCTGGAGCTGGGAGGCTGGAGTCTCAAGAGCAGTGTTCACCAGCCAGCAGGCCCAAAGTCACCCCTTCCTGTGTAGGAAATTGGCAGGGGCTGAATTCAATGGCTGGTGCAAGGCCAAGTATCAACACCCAGGGAACCATCCACGCCTCGGAGTGGCCACCAAGGCCCCACTGTCCATGCTCTCGGCGCGAGGGCTCGGACCCGGTGATGTCTTTTGGTCCTCTCCTCACTCACCTGGCCCCAGTGGAATCCCACCTCCAGGTCACACACAATTACTCGAATTTTCTTGGAAGCTAATGCATGAAGGGCACTGACTCCAGGTGATCCCATTGCCACGTTCCCTGGGGGAGGGAAGACCCTGAAGGGGTAACCATGGGGGTTTCCGCGTCTGAGCCCAGTGGTGAGCAGCGGGGAGCACACGGTAAGGGGTTAGCTAGTGTCTGCGGAACTAAACTGTGCTGCAGAACGGGGAACTGGGAAGAGCCCAGCACGGCAGCCTGAGGCCTGGGTGCCTATCCTGGCCTGGCCCCTGGTTAGCTGTGTGACCCTGGATCAGCTGTTCATTTCTGAGCCTCATCTCAAAACAGGGATGGGTCCTGGCCACCAATCGATGTCTCTCTCTCTCACATCGATGTTTCTCTCTCTCCCCCTCCCTCCCTCCCTATCTGAAAAAAATAAATTACTGAATGGAAAAATATCCTCGGGTGAGGGTTTTTAAAAGTGCTAGGATGAGATGCTGCCTGGGCAAGGGAGTCGGGAGGCACGGAGGCTCCGCTCCCCCAGCCCTGGCCGAGGCTCCGCTCCCCCAGCCATGACTCAGAGCCAAAGAACAGCTCTGTGGGGACAAGGCTGA